AACCGATATCCTTCGAAGTTGGAGATTCGGTTTTACTTAAAGTCTCGTCGTGGAAGGGACTTATAAGGTTTGGTAGAAGGGGAAAGTTGAGTCCAAGGATTATTGGACCATTTAAAAGTTCTTCAGAGGATCGGGAATCAAGCTTACAAGCTAGAATTACCGGAAGAACTAGAGGGTATTAACAATACCTTTCATGTGTGTTATTTGAGGAATTTCACGGGAGGTGTGCCCGACATAATTCCCATTTCTGAATTAAGGTTGGATGATAGCAAGAAGTTAATTGGAGAACCTGAGACAATCGTTGACCGTAAGACTAAGAAGTTGTAACGTAAGATAGTCGATTTAGTGCTTATGCGTTGGAAACATATAAATGGGCCAAATCTCACCTGGGAAAAAACGGAGAGTGACATGGTGAGTCGCTACCCATGGTTGTTTGTCGATGTGTGATTCCGGGGACGGAATCATCCTAAGGGGGAGAAAATTGTAATGTCCGTGTTTCTAGGCTAGGCATTAATATTGACTTGATAGTCTAGGTTAACCTTTGTGACTCATTTTGGAGAAATGAAAAGGAATTATGTGAATATTATGTGTTTTATGTGTTTTATGCTTGATTACTAGGAGTTAAATAATTAAGAATAAAAATGAGCGTCAAAAATAAATATTAGATAAAGCCGATATCTATTAAGAAAGTTGTAGTGGTCGTGAAAAGGATTACGGATATATAAAGAATGCCGAAATCCGAGTTATAACGAAGAAGTTATGACCTGTCGAAGTTTCACGACAAAACCGGCACGGTGCTGAATGTCGTAAAAAGTGAGTTTTCGATAAACTACTTTTTAGCCTTAGTGATCTAAACGAAACTCGTAGTGTTCGTTAAACCGAGAGTAGGTATAAAAAGAACGCCCAAATCTGACTTCGTATGAGGAAGTTATGATTTTTCGAAGTTTCAGCTTAGCAGTAGACAGCTAAAAACTCGAATTTTAGATCGAGAGATTTTTAGCCGACACGACCTAAACGAGAATCGAAGGTCTCGTAAATAGTAGCACAACGGTAAAAAGACAGACGAAAACGGACGTCGGATGAAGAAGTTATGAATTTTTAACGGATTTCCTGTCCCGGTCTGTTAAAAATAATAATAAAAAAATTAAAGTCAAAATTAGCCGACGAAGTCTAAACGAAAGTTGTAGAGAGTAATTTTACCTACGCGTGCATATATAGAACGTCAAAAACGGAGCTCGTATGCGAAAGTTATGAATTTTAGAAGTTTTTGCACAAAAATCGAGAAAATTCGCATAGTCACGTTTTTGCCACGTCACCCTCGCTTAGAACGTGCCACGTGTCCGAAATTGGTGAGTCATGCGAGCCACGTGTCCGAGCTGCTGAGTCATCCGAGCTCCTGACCTGATCCGAAGTGCTCCAGTAGAGATGCGACACGTACCCTCTTAGCACATGGTCGAACCCTCGCAAGGCTGTCACGGATGTCCTACTTCGGACCTAGGCTTCGGTCCAATCACAAGAAGCCAGCAGCCCCTTCGCACATGCAGCCCTCGTGCGATCCATCCCCTGCGAGCTTCGGATCTGCGACACCTGGAGGCTTCTCAGTCGTTGGATCAGGAGGCTCGCCCCTATAAATAGGAGGGTGCGAGACCTCCCGGGTATACTTTGAAATTTGTCATTTTTAGCCCTTTTTTCAATATTTCTTTCATTTCAACTTCCCCTCGAATCCCCGGTATCAATTATAACCCCCGGAATACGCCACGAAGTGCCCGAGAAGCCCGGAAAATTTATCTTTTCGGTTTCGAAGCCCGACCCTTCGCAGAGCCCGGTTTCTCAATAAAACTCCCGGTTTTATTAGAAACAATCGTTTTAGGAAACGAATTGCTGTCCGATTTTCATTAAATCAGGTGAGTGTGTAGTTACTTTCACCTTACACATAGATATGAAGTATTTTATATAAAATACGTGCTGTGTGAATATTTATTGTTTGTTTATTTGAGTTGGATGTTGAAGGTGTGATTTATACATGTTTTTAAATAATTTAAACTGTATATGTATTTTTATCTACAAAAATGTTGGGTAAAACATGGGTAGATGAAATAATGGGTGTGTGATGAAAGGTGAGTTGGATAAATGAAATGATCAGTGATATAGATCATAAGTTGAGGGTGAGTGGTGAAAGGAGATCATAAGTTGAGGGTGAGTGGTGAAAGGATATCATAAGTTGAGGGTGAGTGGTGAAATATGAGATAAGCCCTTACCCAAACGGTGACCCCCGTCATTCAGCAGAGTAGGGATGACAACCATGGACTATTCTAGACGATCTGTGGAACACTAGCAGGCCCGCAACCTGTAGGTGTAATGAACTATATGTTCATTTGGAGTACTCTAAAAACCCATTGACATGTATGACAGGGGTGAATACTGTCAATAATACTGTCAATAAATAAGAGCTATGAATTTAGCCCCTGTTGTATAAACCCTGGTGATGGTGTGACCTTGTGCCTATTCCTTAGGATGAATCCTTAGGAAGGAGTGATAGTTGAATCTTAGGGTAAACCCTTAAGAAATTAATAAGATAATGGGGTTGGGGTAATTTGGTTGATTGATTGATGTTTAAGTACGATAAATTTATTTATTGTGGGTTGAAAACCCTATATGCTCACCAGGCTTCCAAGCCTGATCCACTCAGCTTTTTATGATTACAGGTAGTGGACCCCGAGCATAGTCGGATGATGATGATGATGAGTGATTTTGGATTATAGGCCAGTAGTTATAAATAACTGTTGTAAGGCTTATAATGTCTTGTTTATGCTTTTGATCTGTATCGGAACATGACATCCCGAGGTTTTGATATAAAAGGAAATTATATATTTCTTAAAGAAAGGTTTTGACAAACTTTTGTCATGTTTTGTTTTGGGGACGAATTCCGCAACATCTTTTAGAAAAGATTTCTCTGATTTTATTTTAAAAAGCATAAATTAAATCGGTCTTTTCTGACCGAGAAATTAGGGGATGTCACATTTTCCTTTCATTAATGAAACTCGGGAACACGCTTTTCCTTCGACATCCCTCACGTTCTCTCCATTTTCATCCATATTCCTCATTAAGTAGAACTCGGGAACAAGGTGTAAAAGATCAATTAAATGGTAAATAAGTTTCAAATCACCACTGTTTGGTAAATATTTTTTAAAAACACAACTCTTTGGTACAAAACTCTAAAAAAGTTATCGATGCCCACAGAAAAAATATAAGAACTTGTAGTAATACATTTTTGGAGGGATTATTTAAGTAATTTTGTCTTAAAATAATGAATTCCAAATTGGATAAAACAAAGGGGATAATGACTTAAAAGGGTAATATATTTTTCGATTTATAAACATTTGGTCACTGAGTTTTTTTCGTCCACATTTACCCCTTCAACTTGTTAAACTGTACATATTCAGTCCTTATGACCGGCTACTCTAGGTTAGCCGGTAAAAATGACTGAACATGGTAATATATTTCTCATTTTGTACACATTTAATCCTTAATATTTTTGTACACATTTAGTCTTTAATATTTTTTTGTTGCAAATAAGTCAATTTTGTTTTTGTACTCATTCAGCACTTATGAATGATTTATTTAGGTTTTTCTCACGACATCTTACGTGTGACATTCATTAATGAAATGTTTGGGGATTTTGATGTTTACGTTTATCGCGATCTCGACTACAACTTTCATTTAGATTGCTCCCGTTATAAGTAATATATTTTTACTTACGATCTTTATATCTATACGTTTTTTATGAATGCATGTATGGATGTATTTTTTGTAAAATCATAAGCAAAAATATATTACATTTTAACGAGATTAATCTTAACGAAAGTTGTAATAGACTCAAAAAACGAACATGTGGATATAAAGATCTTTAAAATCTGATATCATATGAAGAAGTTATTACGTTCAGAATACAAGAGCTAAGTCAAACCACAAGACCTACGCAACCAAACAATCGAGATCGCGATGAACATAAGCATCAACAACCCTAAAAGAAAATGAAAAAAAAACTTAATGACCAAATATGTACAAATCAAAAAAATTAACAAGTTAAAGGGGTAAATATAAACGAAAAATAATAAAAATAATAATAATAATAATAATAACTAGAAAGTTTCCCCCCGCGTTGCGGGGGGGCGGAAGGTGTTGCTTTTGTGTCATAGTAAAGTACATTGCCTAAGTTGTTAGCCACAATAAAGTACGTTGCTATTGTATGAGATTTGCCCATTTATAAACAGTGTAAATGTTATAATAAGAAAATTTTGAAAATACAATCCAATAATTGGATAGAATTTTCACAGGACAATGTGTTAATAAGAAAAGATATCAAAGTGTTGTAGTATGCTGTAAAAAAATGTATATTGCTAAATTGAAAGAGATTATACAGCAGGTCTCAACAGCCCCATCTATCTTCCCATCCAGTTCAACTTTCCACAATGAAGTTATATCACATCATTATCTAAGACTAAGACCGACATACCATGCAGCTATCAATTTCTCCAACGTAAAAAATTCATACGAAACTGAATTCTCCACTTGTAAGATTCATTCCACGCATTTTTTTTACTGCCAATATCAGTCAACTTTTTAAAAAAATTGCAATTACTTTGAACAAAAAAAAATGCATACATTGTCCCATTTTACTGTATTGTGGTATATTTGGGTACAGGGGAAAATTAATTTGAACAAAAAAAACTGTATACACTGTCCCATTTTACTGCCATGTGGCATATTTGGGTACAGGTGCAAATTGGTCTTTCAACAAAATTGACAGTCCAGTCACAAACTATTAATGATAAAAAAGTTATTTTTTATTGATAAAATCAGTCGATTTTATTTAAAAAAAATTGCATTGTATTTGAATTGGCTGATATAATCAGTTGTATAAAATCAGTTGAATTGACTGATAGCATCAGTACAGTATATGCGGTTTAATTAGCCAAGTGCAAAAAGGAAAATTAGCATCAGTACAGTATCGACAGGTAGTAGACTTTGCTGCTTTTCTGATGATAACTATAAACATATATGCAAACAGTTGGTGGGCAAACCCCTAAAAGGGATAATTTTAAGAAGGGAGAAGAAAGAGATATACCTGAAACGGAAGGGCAACCAAGTGCAAAAAGGAACCGCTACAGTTACAGTCGATTCAGGTGGGATCAACGGTGGAGACTGTAGTGCAGCTGTTCATTAGTCATGATTTTCTTGAGCTCTATACCACTAAACATACCATTTCCAAACTCTAAACTAAACATTTCTGAATTTGGATAAAAAGAATAAGGTGGTGATAATTTACCGATTTGCCCTCCGGAAGAAGGCAACAACTTAACTGAAGCTCATATTTTCCTGTACCCATTGCTGATCTACCTGTTGCTGTCACAAAACAAATGAGATATTAATTCTCAAACATATGTATATAATATGAAAGAAAAATGCATCAACCAATTTTAGGTGACAATGTATGTATTATGCTCTTAACTACTCCTACTTGCATTCATCATACTATCAGATGCTCAAAAAACACAAACAGGTCTTTTGTGATCATCAGAGAAAAATGACCTGAATAATACAATAATTTCATGTGATTTATCAGGATGATTAATGTTTCCCAGGTAGAATCCAAAAGAAGTTTATAGGTATGCACATGCATGTCGACATATAATCTAATTAGAATCCTTGACCCCTAAAGAGCAATGATAGTAACAGTGACAACATTAGTGTAGAGGGTATATCATGATGTTGTGAAGCTTTAATAACTGTTAAGAGTAATAATCCCAAGCGTATTTGAGTAATAATTATTGTACATTGATTATTCTGATTACTATTAAAACAATTATTAGGTATGTTTATCCATATGCTTAGTATTATGTAACAAATTCACGGTCCTTCAGGGGATGATTAACATTATCTTATGTGCAATGCAATAATTATTGTTTCTTTATCCATATCCTTAGTATTATGAAACAAATTTGAAGTTTGTTGATGTGCTACAGGGCACATTTCTTTATATATTGAATTTACCTATCTCCAGTACCAAATTAAAAGAATAATCCTCAGATCATCCATTTTTTATGAAGAAAATATTGTTAGTAAGTGAAAACATACCTTAAAATAGGATATTGAGAAGCAAGTCTGAAAAGCAAGAAAGGGAAAGAAAACAACAAATCAGTGTGAAGAGTAAATAATAAATCGATCATACCTGAAAATATTTGGCCGATAAAAGTTTCACCATCTTTGTCGATGCAGCGTCTTCCCCGATTTAGGTTTGGATCTCTATAGCCCGTATTTGATCTCCACCTGTTGTGACCTATTCTAAATCGATTGAAGCAATCCTAAAAAATTAGGAAAACTTAGTTAAACTTGATTTCATGGTTATAAGAGAAAAAGAAAGAGAAACAACCGAGGAGGAGCACCGAAAATCTACGATGTTGTCGACCTCATCGCCGGCAACAGCAATTTCGTCGTCGTTAAAATACCCACCTCTCAGAAGCTTTGCAAATCACAACACCGGTGCCTCAGTTGACCTTTTCCGGCCTGCATCATCAATTGGAAGAATCAAGTCGGTAATAAATTACAATTTCCATTGAATAACTTCGTCCATAGCAGAAATCGAAAACCATACCTTGAACAATAAATAGGAAGAACGCCAAGGTTGACCGAGACGGAAAAGTGTGAGCCAGCGACGAAGTTGAAGCAGATGTGGAAGAGATCGTGTATGGCAGCGATTGATGTTTTTGTGGGTGTTTCACGGGCCGTTCGGTCGAGAAGACCGATATCAGCTTGAGGCGGTAGCAGCAGAGGTTGTGGTCGACCCTGGTGGATTGGTATTCGTTTCTCTCCCAATTGATCTGTCATCCACTTCATATTTCGCCATCGCTTCCACCTCCTGTTCCGCCACCAGAGCTCTGTCTCCAAGATATCCCACCTCATTCATCGTTATTATCCCCTTTCCTGGTGTAGCCGTTGGTGAACCGGGTATATGATCACGCGAGAGATGTAAATCTTCTTCTGGGGGAGATACTGGAGTTTGCCCACAAATTGTTATGATATTCGACCGAGAGAAGGAGGTGGAAACAACTGTGTAAGCATCCGATTGGAGAACAAAGGCGGTGGAATCAGAGGAAACACATTAAGACAACACGTATAAAGCAAAAATATAAACAATAACAAAAACGACAAAAAATACCCAAAGCATAGAATGGACGTTTTTTTAACATATATACATAAATAAGGGACTCGTTAAATTAAAAGATTGCAATACAAACAAAAATACAGGGATCTGGAATGTAATTTAAGGGACCAAAATAGACAAAAATGGTGGTAGATTTACTGTTCCTTTTCTTTACAATTTTAATATATATATTATAATAATAATAATAATAATAATAACAACTCAGATCATGTGTACAAATCAAGAAAAAAACATATTATCTTTTAAGCCGTTATCCCTAAAAGAAATGTAGCAATATGGTTATAGAAGCCAAAATATATATAACCAAACGTTTTGAATTTCTTGCAACCAAACCAAATCACCATCGTCACAGCCACGTGGTTGGAAGTTGGAACCACTCTATTCCTTCATCTCTCTTCCAATTTGAGATCGTCTCAATTGTGTGTGCCCTAAATCATTCCTGATCATAGATACCACTTGCAGGTAACACACATTGCCCTCAGCCAAAACTGTGTGTAAGAGAAAGCCAATCCGATCATCCTCAACGTTTTCATTTGCATTTCTTCTTCCTGACTCATTCGATTTTGAATCCTTGTAATCAAAGGGTTACACCATAATAGCCACATTAAGGTAATAATAATGCATTCACCCTTTACTTCTCATTGTTGCTTATAATGATTTCTTTGAAATTGGTTTTCAAAACATTGCATTTTGCCGGATTCTTAATTGAAAAAAAAAAATTGGTGATCAAAACGCGTTTTAGCTCATGGATCGTGACAATTACTTTAATTATCCCCATCTTTTCGATATTAGTGGCTTTGTGTATTAATTATGAACCAGATCATGAATGAAGTGTGTGAATTTACTTAGATGAATGATTGGAGCATATGGCGCCACCTCCATTAATGGAGATCTGTTATCTATTAATTGTCATTATAAAGCTGTCTACCAATTGGCATTATCACCTTTTGATCATGCATTGAGCTACTTGTACTGTGAATTAAGTACCAGTCCATTAGGGTTCTTATTCATTGCTAGATTCAATTTTCATTCAGCTTACACTTCAAACAGTCTGAATTGTTAATATTAAGCATTCAGACTCCCTTCCATATCAAATCATATGGTTATTCAGCATTTAACGTGGCACTTTAATATGAATTCAGTAGGGGGACAGAAGTGGATGTTTCACCTAACATTATTAACTCATGAGCTACACAGCTACCTTCAAAGTTTGACTTCTAAAATCACTTAAAAATCTATTCTGATGATGTCTTTCTTTTATGTGTCAGGTTGCTGATCTCAAACATACCTAAACCCCAATTTGTTTATGCAAACAACAATATATATATATATATATATATCTCTCTCTCTCATTCCCATTTTCACATATTGATGAAATCGATTATTCTAGAAAGATGGTTGTTTGAGGGTTTTTAAAGCTTTAATGGGAGTAAAATGGAAACTCTTGTTCCCAGTTTATTCCTCTACAAAAGAAGAACACATTCCTGCAAAAACCTTTGAAAGTCAAATGACAGAGTCAAACATGGTGGGGCCTGAGTCTCCATTGCCTGAGCCTCTAATGGATCGTGATCTTGCAGCATTGAAGCTTCAGAAAACATACAAAAGCTTCAGAACCAGAAGACAGTTAGCTGATTGTGCAATACTTGTTGAACATAGATGGTTAGTTAATAGTTATTCATTTTTTTGCAATGAGTACAAATCTTTATGCATAGATTACAAGTTGACATCTTTTATTATGTAGGTGGAAGCTCTTGGATTTTGCTGTGCTCAAGTGTAGTTCTGTATCATTCTTTGAAATTGAAAAACCAGAGACTGCTGTTTCACGTTGGTCAAGAGCAAGAACACGAGCTGCAAAGGTATATATTTTTAGTTTTTACTATGTTTAATTTTTCAGTTCTATAAATAATAAATTCTAGGGTAAAGTATATAAATTATCCTTGTAATGACTCATTCCATTACCTTGGTCACTGTGTTCCTTTTTATACCTGAAATTTCAGGTTGGAAAAGGCTTATCACACCATGCAAAGGCATGTAAACTAGCTTTACAACATTGGCTCGAGGCAGTAAGTTTTCCAATCTTGATGAATTTTATCTTTTTTTTTTTTTTTGTGATTAAATATATTGATTCAATTTCATTTTTGTAAAAAACAGATCGATCCACGACACCGTTATGGTCATAATCTTCATTTTTATTATGTCAAATGGCTTCATTGCGAAAGTAAACAACCCTTTTTCTATTGGTAAGATCATATCTCACCAAAAAAAACAAATTAAGTTGACTAAACTAAACTCCATAGTTTATGACACAATCTTAGGCTTGACATAGGGGAGGGCAAAGAAGTAAATCATGAAAGATGCCCGAGGTCAAAGCTTCAACAACAATGCATCAAGTATCTAAGTCCCGTAAGTTTTTAGATAAAAGAATTTACATGGGTTTGCTTTCTTTATACAAAAAAATTGAACTTTTTTTTTGTTTTCAGATAGAAAGGGAGGATTTTGAAGCTACAGTGGAAGACGGGAAGTTTATTTATAAATTGAGTAGGAAGCTTATTGATACACGAGAACCCACGGGTGTGAAATGGATATTTGTGCTTAGTACTTCAAATATTTTATATGTTGGGATGAAGCTTAAAGGCAAATTTCAACATTCGAGTTTTTTAGCTGGTGGTGCTACATTGTCTGCTGGACGATTGGTGGTTGTAGACGGTATCCTGAAGGCATGTTTGTCTATATAACTAAATTTCGACCGGTCATGAGATATTCTGATGACCGGTCACAGTCATCCGATATCATCAGATATCGGATGACTGAAATCGGTTATTTGGTATCTTAACCGTTAATTTCTTGTGATAGGCTGTGTGGCCTCATAGTGGACATTACCTCCCAACCAAAGAAAATTTTGAAGCTTTCATTTCGTTTCTTGAGCAACACCAAATTAATATCCAAACTATTAAGGTACAATAACTATTCAATATTCATACGAAAAATCATGTCTTTTTATCCGGGTTAAAATCTTTTTTTCCAAAATTTAAACCAAGATAATATCAAAAAGATTCGAGTCTCAATAGCTGCAGTATGAGACTTTTAATTCCAATGTGATTTGAATAAAATTCACAGAAAAGCCCAGATGGGGATGAAGAAGTACCCAACGAAAAAATGACGGGATATGAAATGCGGAATAGTGTATCAGAGCCGGATTTCTCTCGAGCTACAGAAGAAACCGAATCCAAATACCGAAATGATTCCAAACCACAAAGGGAAAGGGAAAGGTCGGGGACTTGTCCCCCATTTTCAAACCCAAAGATTACCACACTTGAAATCCCAACAAAAGAAGACATCATTTTGTCATTCCAAACTTCAGAATCCCAAATGGGGCCCACACCCGAACCAGAACCAGAACCAGAACCGGAACCCAGTCACTCCTCAGATGAAGGGGATGATCATGATGAAACAGCTGAAAAACTGTTGTCAAGTATCGAACTCATGGTATCCAAACGGAATCTTTTTGATTCGGGAGAAGAAGGGTATGAGTTTCCGGTTTCGGAGGAGAAGATTATGGAGAGGATTAATTCACATAAAGAAACAAAGTCTTTTCAGTTGGCTAAACAGCTGAGCTGTCGGTGGACAACAGGTGTGGGCCCACGAATCGGGTGTGTACGAGATTACCCTACGGAGTTACAGTTTAGGGCTCTTGAGGTGTGCTTGTCACCCAAAAACTCTCTTTGGAGATTGGGGTTTAAAAATTGTGAAATAAGTAATAGGAGGAAAAAAAGCTATTCTTTAGCAAATATAGAAGAATTTTCAAGAAGTCATCATAGTTTAGATTAGGAATCACATTTTAGGATCAAATTTTGTAATAATATGTTTTCATTACTTTTTTCTAACCTGTCACCTACCTCTTTACTATCAACTTGTATCGCTAGTATCTACTCCGTGTTCGTATATGTTTCATATGCATGATTGTGGGCCCAATTCGTATGGAGTTTGGATATTGTTGTTGTATTATTTGTTTCCACTCTTATTAAATATATAAAACTCTTTGTCAAATACCATTACAACATTTCTTGAAAAAAGATCAAGAACTTATGAGACTAACAAGAAATCAACTTTCATCATTCTTTGAGGCAAAAAAAAAAGTCAACTTTTGTTGAAGTCTCATATGATTACATTTTATTAAGGAAAATTTTAACATTTTAAGCGGATTTTGGCTGTATATGAATGAAACATATGTTACATGAAGAAGATCAGATGAAAGGAAATATGATGTACTCTGCATAAAATAAATTCCATATAAAACGGTAGTACCCTGCTATAGCCTCCTGCAAGTGAAAAGTGGTTGTTGTATGGTTAAATTAAGTCTAGTAAAAGGTACAACTTCTAATGCATGAAATACAAGTCCTTATAGCATAATAACACTGAATCTATGGAGTTTTGCAACAAGTATATGTTACCTGGGTGTAATTCGCACGCTCAAGTACCCATGCCTGAATAAAGTTATCCATATTTAATTTTATTTTTTTAAAAGGTGAAAAAATAAAAAAATTGGTTAAAATAGATTAAATAAAAACCTGGAAAATCAAACAGGAAGCCAAGATGGTATGTAATGGTATCATCAAGCTGCTCCTGAAAGCCTGCATTTTTCATAAAACCATTATTCTAAAATTTTAAATTCTAATTTAGGAAAAATAAATATTAAATTTCTGTTACTTTATTAAACTCTCATTTTTCTTAGACAAAATTACGCGATTGGTCCCTGTGCTTTACCAGATTTATCTAGTTGAGGACAACTATGGAAAGTTGGAAACCTCTAGCTTTATTGGTCCTTGGACTATGTAAAAAGACTTTTTTGCCCTTTTGAGTTATTTTAGACATTTTCATATAAGGTGTTCACCTGAGGCAAGTAGAATGCTGCCACTATTGAACCAATATAATTCATCATAAGAAGCCCGGATCCTAATAAAGCAATGTTTCTTACTCCAAGTTTTGTTGCAAAAGTAGAAATTTGAAACCTGAAAAATGATATCATAATCAATTAAAAAAAAAGAAATGGAAAAAAAAATATATTAAAGTTTTAAATTTTAAAAACTTACTTTCGGTCACCCTCTACATCGGGAAGATCTTTAGTAATGGCGATTACTAATGCAAATAATGTCACAAATGTTGTGATAAAAGCCACTGGTGAACTGCATAAAAATTGAATCTTGAAATCATTTCAAGAAAAAAAGATATTGCAAAAAGGAAAAAGTTAATGTAACTTTTTTTTGTACAAAAAACCATTAAAATGATGTTTTCCAAAAAAAACAATTAAAAAGTGTTACATAAAAGCAAGAATTTATAACCTCCATTGAAATGTTAGTCCTAAAGCAGCTCTCACAGCATAATATACACCAAAATTTAGAAGAAAACCTCTCACCTGAAAATTTTACATATTTCATTAAAGATTTAGACAATAAAGTAAGTTGATATATTTTTATTGAAAAAAAAAATTGTAAGAAAAACTACCGTGGCAATGATGAGAAATGCTGCAACAGGAAATCTTTTCATGCGAAATGGTGGAACAGAATAAATGGTGCCCAGAAAAAGACCAAGACAATAAAGGGAGGTGATAAAAGGGCCAAAATTCATGGCGACAATAAGAACACCAAGTGCTGCAAATGATAACACTAAAAACCATGCTGATTGAACAGAAAGATCTCCAGCAGCAATTGGTAGATAGGGTTTGTTTACCCTGAAAAATCAAAACCAGAATCAAGTAATAAACCACAAAATTATGTTATTAATTGATAATTATACAACGATACAATGCTTACTTATCAATTCCGATATCATATATTTGATTGATGCCGACTATGTAACCATTTCCACATATCAGAGCGATTAGGCCGGAAAATGCCTTGATTAAAAGCGACCATTTGATGAGATTTGGGTTTTCAAGAAGTGCTCTTGTTACTAAAGACCTATGAAGAAAATTAGAGAGAAGATGTTTTAGTTTTGATGTTTTGATGTTATGAAGCTTGTGATTAAGGTTGTTTGATGATATAAATGCTTACACCGATCCTAACGATGTTCCGCGAATTGTGTGGGGTCTTAGAAATCTCCAGAATGCGTCTTTGAAATCTGCAACTTTCTTTAATGGTGGATCGGATTCAGCAGCACCAACTTGACTGCAGGCCTGTTGATGATCAGATTATAAATAACTAACTTCTCGAAGAACTGAGATGGATTAATGCTTACTTTCGAAAGCTCAAAATGCAATGGCAACGGGAATCCAAAATCGAATTCAATCCTACCTTACAATCAAGTAGCAATTGGCAACTGAAAAGTAAAATTATCAAGAGCTAATAGGACATGATTAAAACAAAATTAATTAAGCAAATTTTGATTGTTACTCCCACCATTCCCAAATTTTATGAGCTCAATTGGACTTCATTCAACTTCAAACGCGATACACAATTTGAACTTCACAGTAGCGATCACGTGAAATTGATAAATTTCGAAAATCTAAAGACGAATTTCACCAAAATATAAGAAATCCACGAAGATAGCGATGGAATTGAACATACCGTGATGGAGAATTGCTTTGGGAATTTGTTTGAAACTACGTTTGAGCTTCGTTTGATACTGTAGAAGTTGGTTGTAAGAGTAGTGTTATCAGGGAACTTGAAAACTGTATCGTAGAATTTGCATTTGGTGTTTGCGGTAAATTTTCTGAAATGTGGAGATGAACCAGAAACTCGAAGGGAAGAAGATGAGAGTGATAACTCCATTGTGAGGGGGAGAATGAACTCGTGGTGCCTTTTGTTTGAGTATTTTGCTAGGGTACCCTTATTGGTTGTCCTTTTGTTTCAACGGAACCCTCTTCTTGGCTCTTCTGTGCAATTTCTTCATGGTTGTTTTTTTAGAACTAGTTAACATTTAGAGGTGTTTGGATAGGTAAAAAAAGAGAGAGCTTATAGTTTAATGTTTATCCGTATAGTTATAAGCTAAGTTTAAGTGTTTGGATAGAAAACACTAAAAATCAGCTTATTGCGGTTGGAATAAGCTAAATAAACTAATTTTAATAAACATTTCCCCTTTGCTTATAACTTATTGCTTATTTCTAATCCAAACACTTTGCAAAAATTGTTTTCTCTCACCACTAATAAGTAGGGGTGAGCAAAAACCGAACCAACAAAATAAAACCCGACAAAACCGCAACAAACCGCAACCAAAAAACCGAAACCGATGCAAAAACCGAGGATGCGGATTTTATTTTCACAAAAACCGAAGTTATTGGTGCGATGCGGTTTTTATCTAGAAACCGGTCCACCAAAAAACCGAACCGCACCGAAGGCGTATAAACAATAAATCACTAACTTATATTATATACATATTATTTAAAAGACTGATATCTACTATATGTTGAATTTGACGGTACTTAGGTTTTAGCGATTAAACATTAATAGATATACATGTGAGTATGTATAATGTATGTGAGAATCTATCTTTAATTTCTCATAAGTCAACATTATGTATTTTGTGGCTTTGTGTTTCTGTAACCATATGTGGGAGTAGGTACAAATCCAATAGAAAAAATGTGTTTGGAGTGAAAATTAATCAAGTATAAAAAATCAAAAAAACCGACACCGAACCGATACAAACCGAAACCGCATTTAAGAACCGCAAAACCGAGCCATTAAAATACCGCACCCAACGGATTTTAAAATGTAAAAACCGCACCATGCAGTTTGCGTTTCGGTTTGACCCTAAAACCATACCGAACCGCACCATGCTCAACCCTACTAATAAGTTAATAAGCTATAAGTTAATTTATCCAAACATCCTCTTAATATTATCTATCTTTAATCGCTCACTTTTTAATTTTACTTCAGTTTTCCACTCATTCAACAAAATGGAGAAAATTCTTTTCAGTCTTTCATTATCTTTAAAAAAAAATTATTTTTTAAAAAATATATATATTTTATACAAATATTATACTCTTTTTGTAGGGAATTAAAAACCATAAACTTTAATATATTTTTATAATTTTTTTAGTATATATATAATTTAATAAATATTAAATAAACTGAAAAAAAAAAAAAAAAAAAAAGTCGGTCAATCACACAAGAAGAGAGAGGTCGGGGTAGCCTCCCCTCACCCTTCCTCCGCACCCCCTAAACCATAGTGGCAGTGTTGTGTAGCTGGATACGGTTCCTTTTCGTGCTCCCCTTTCCCGCATCCCACCCACCGCCCTAATACCATTACATTTATATCGGTGAGTGTCATATCATAATATACGACATTGTTGTAATGTCATGTGATCGTCATATCATTTTTCCCTCACTCTACAAAGCTAGTTCGTGTAATAGCACACTTTTATTTTATTTCTTTATTTTTTTAATTATATAAAATTAATAAAAGGAACATACTTCATTAATTTAATTAAAAACGATTAAATAGGCAAAAACGAAAATTAAATAAAAACACTACATAAAAAACGACAATTAATTTAAAACATTATTTGTAGTATTTTTTTATGATGTCCGCCCTACCCCTCAAAACCTTATCGAACTCATTTTCGGTGAGATGATCGAATAGTTTTGTTACAAATTCATATCATGACTTCTTTGCTTCTCCTCTCTAGTTTTCTTTTTCTCATTCAACTTCTCATTTTCAAAATTCAAACGAATTTCAAAATTTAAATTATAAATTTTGAAATTACTAGCAACTCTATGAATGTCATGATCTTGTTATGTTAACTTATGTTAACTTGGGTGTATGTTAATAGGTGGGGGAAATCATGATTGTGACAATGATTGGCATGAACTTGTAGGAGGAAAGCATGAGAGGGATGCTTTCGTAATGACGTGCATAATAGGAATTGTCGAGGGCTAGCATCATTATCAAAAATGTTATAAGAAAATGAATGTGGTGCACCATCTGCATTTAAGGCAACAATTTAGGTTAACGATGCAGAAAATGATAAAAGAAATGAATAAATTATAAAGGAAATAAATAGAGGTAAATTTACTAATTTTTACAAGTAGTTAACCCCTAATTTAATGGATTTATCTAAATAGACCAACCGTATAACGTTTTGAAACTATAGAAAATAACGTTGTAATGTTTTGCAATATTATCTTGAAGTTTTTTTTTTTTTGGAAAGGGAACTTCCCTAACGAGGGTTTACGGGCCAGCTTTCTTGAAGTTGTTACCTTTTGAAACGGAAAATCTCCAGAAAAGTCCTAAATTTTTAGGTCATTTTATGATCTAGTCTTTAATTAAATTTCATTAATGAAAAAAGGATAGGAAACCATCTATTGTAATCACTTTTACCCTTTTTTACCTTTTCAACAGGTTACTGCTGATGTGGAGTGCTAACTGTATTGCTGGGCTGAGGTGGCATCCCATTCCTTTACAAAGTAAAAAACCAGTTTTTTTGGGGGAAAAGAGGGGGAGGGGGACTCAAACCCATGAACTCCCACTTACAAACAAAACAATGTACCAAGTGAACTAGAATTAGTTATTGTTTTGTTTTCTTCATATTTATTTATTAATCCTTATGACCTTCATCTTCCTCCATATGTACAGACGAACCTGCAACTTCTTCCTCCATATTAATTCACCAAAAACACGACCTTACAACTTCTTCACCTAAAGATTCTATTCACATCTGGTAATCTATTATACTTCACCATAAACCCTAATGGATTTTCTGATTTCCCCTTTTCTTTCCTCCATCACTCAAATAAGAACAATCTCAAGATTCCCAAACCCGAAAGAATGGAATGGTGAGATGTTACTGTCGACATTGTGGGGGAGATCAAGATCGGAAACATTAGCATAATGGCGTCGTTTAAGGGAGAGAAGAACGGAGTACAGAAAATTCTTCGTAACTTATTTAAATCGAAGAAGATGAAGCCTGATGGTCTATTGAGAAGATAATGAAGCTCGATGGTACTTGTGGGTGGTCAGAAACTTGTATGGTGAACATTTTCCTAAGCTCAATCGCTTTACAACCACTGTAATATCCAATTTCCATTTTCTTCGCCTCACCTAAATCCTTTGATTTTAACTCTTTATTTTGCTGGTTCGTAAATAAATTAGGGTTTTAAGTGAGTTAGAGATGATAGAGGAAGGATATCAGGTTTAACGTGTGGTTGTTTAGGGTATTAAGACTTTATAAATAAATTTGAAGAAATAATATCAACAAATTCTTCTAGTTCACTTAGTAAGTTGTTCGGTTTGTGTGTGGGAGGTCAAGGGTTCGAGTCCCCCTCCTCCTTTTCCCCAACAAAATCTGGTTTTTTACTTTGTAAAGGAATGGAATGCCACCTCAGACGCCAACTCAGCTCACAGTTGGCACTCCACATCAGCAATAACCTGCTGAAAAGGTAAAAAGGAGTAAAAGTGATTACAATAGTTGGTTTCTGTCTTTTTTCATTAATGAAATTTAATTTAAGACTAGATCATAAATTGACCCAAAATTTTAGGGCTATTCTAGAGATTTCCCTTAGAAAACCATACGGATCATTCATCAAATTTTGTAATTTTATAACCATCTTGTTAAATCCAAAACAAATCCATCATTTTTTTATTTATTTATATTGAACAATGGAATAAGTTATTGATTTAGACTTGAAGCATGATAACTTTTTTTTATGAGTTACAACTATTTTTAATAAGCACTCAACTTCATTGAAGTACATAACTTATTTAATTATTTTTATTGATCATTTAATATATATTAATTAGTAATATACTTTCATATTTTGTATCTTTTACTCCTCATCTTCTACTCATGTTTCATTTTACCTTTTAATTATACTTTTAGTTTAAAACATTTTTTATTTATTTACTGTATAATTATTTCTATCAAATGTTTAATAACATTTTATTTATGAAATATAAATTTATAATGATATATAATATTTTTAATTTTTTATAACTAGGATGTGTTAATTTTTTATTCGTATTTTATGTTTATAGAATAAATCCCAAGTACATTTTTATTTTTATTTTTGTTTGTTTGTGGTATTCAACATCTATAAAATATGTTGTGTGTTTTTAAAAGATGCTTAATTAAATGAGAGGGTTTTTATAGAACATTTAAAAAAGATAATGATAGATTAGTTATTAAAAAAACTACTTGAAGAGGTTAACCATTGGAAATGTAATATAGTTAGAGGTTAAAGTTAATGAAATAATGAGATGACAACAATTTTAAGTGATGATATAACTTTACCAATGAAGATGCTCTTATTTTGAATTGTGGAACAAGAAGTTATTGATATCCATTGACATATCATAATCGAAATTTGGGCATCGTGAAGCCATACTTTTTAGACTCCAAAAGTAGACTAATTGGTCATTTTGGCATTTTTCCAGAATTAGGTGTTTTTTCCTCAAAACCTCTTCTTGACCTCTTTTTTCTACTGGCGGGCATATGTTTTGTAACATCCCAAAAATCATAGTAAAAATTTTCTTTTTTAAAACCATTTTGATAATCCATAAATCATTCAAAATATTGTTCCAAAAGCCAAAATCGTTAATCAGAGTATCCAAAAATCATATATCAATAAAATATCCAAGGATGATGTACACAATGACACTTTCACCTTGTCGCGATCATCTAATGTACTTGAAACCATGAAATCAAACTGTAAGTCAAAGCTTAGTGAGTTCCCCCAAAATACTTCACACGATAATAACAAGTATAATACATGCAAATAAGGTTTGTTAGCCCATGGCCTCAACCTAACCGTCTAGAGTTTAATGGCTTTTTGCCTCAAGTCAACCATCCCGAGTTTGTTGGCTTATAGCCTCAAATCAACCATCCCGAGTTTGTTGGCTTATAGCCT